ATTTGCTATTGATTGATCTGTAGGATGCTAGAATTTCATCTCCCTTAGACTGGATTAAACTTTGTATTTTCAACTGATTCATAGTTGAAGTTAGAGACATTTCATCTTGTAAGAAGTATTTTTGATACAAGAATGATCAAATGAGGTAAAAGTGGTGAGTGCTTTATCACCTGTCTTTTAGAAGTGATTGCTATTGTATCTGAAGGAGACTGTTGTGGCAAGTATAAACCCATAGTGAAGCAAGAGCATCTTTTGGAGCAATTGGTGGAAGTGAAATAATGGAAATAGATCATGTAATTGATTAGATTAATTTATAGTAAGAGGTTGTTTCATGGAATTAAAACATTTATGAGATCTAAACTTGATTGGTAAATCATAATAATGATTACCTTGTCAAGCCCATGGATAATTAAGGAAATAACTTTGAAAACAAGCGGAGAAAGTTCATGTCTAGGATAAAGTGAATATACAAAGCAAACACAACTAAAACACAGATGCTTATGAGAAATATAGATTTTTGACAAAAAAAAAAGAATAAAAAAAGAAAGACGTAGCCCCATTAAAAGTAGTAGAGGATTTGCTATTGATTGATCTGTAGGATGCTAGAATTGCATCTCCCTTAGACTGGATTAAAGCAAATTGTAACATCCCTATCACTAAGAAGTCTTAAGTGATGAAGAATCAATGCCTTATCAATTTGGCGCAATATAAGCAAAGAGAGAATAACTTTGGGCTAAAGTTTTAATTTATCAGATTTTTGATGGGTCATATTGATTCCGATGAGTTCATTGAATGACTTTAAATTGTAAAACGGATCGTTAAATATAGAGACATTCTACAAGACAAAAGAGTCAATTTGGCAATTATCAAAGTCAAGAGGTGCACTTCTTTGTGATGGGAGAATCTAAATCACCTGCACTAACATGAAAAGAGAAGTAAGAGCACTATGTGATCTTAAGATAAAGAAGGAGATGCAATATAAGTAATTCTAGCACACTCTCAACAAGTTGTCTTCTTGAGGCTCCACAATTTACTACAAAAGAACTTATCCGTGGAGGAATAAACTATTGAATTTGAACAAATTATGCAATGTGGTACCTTGGAGTTTTGAGACCATCTATTAGAACACAGTGGCATGATACCTTGGAGTTTTGAGACCATCTATTAGCAATGTGGTGCAATTATAGCTGTATTGTCCTTGCTTGGTACCTTGGAGTTTTGAGACCATCTATTAGCAATGTAGTGCAATTATAGCTGTATTGTCCTTGCTTGTGCAAATTTGAGCCCTGAATGTGGAGAAATAGAACAACAACATCAGAGTCACCCCATCCGTCAAGTAGGGTTCAACCATGGAGTCAAGCAACAAGGGCACGCTGTCAAGAGGATCAAATTTTGGCACACATGAGGAGAAATTAGCCTAGGGAGGTGAAAAGAATGATTGGACCATTTCACCTATTATGACTATTTTGATCAGAAAATACTTAAAAAGTGTCATGGTTATCGACATATTGATTCTAGTTGTCCGAGTAGAAGAGTGTTTTCTTTCATTGAATAGATATCAATTGAAGAAAAATGCAAAAGAGATTTAGGAAAGGATATGAACGAGGATGAATATTTTTGCTCCTTATCGATGATGGAGAGATTCTTGTGTTTCAATGCGTTTTCCAAACCAAGCCTAAGAGAGAGCAATAATGTCTATGGCATAATAGTTTTCATACCTGTGTATCATGATGGGAAGGCGTGCAATTTTATAATTAATGGGGGTAGTTATGAAAATGTTGTCTACTCATATGGTGAACAATTTGAGTCTTTTCTCTAAGAAGCATTCCTAGTTGTACTCTCTGACTTGATTGAATAAAGTAAATAAAATCAATGTTGATAAGAGATATTTTCTATTAAAGACAAGCTTCAAGATGTGTGATGCGTTTTCGTTCTTATAAATATGTTATATTTTGTTGGGCTAACTTTGGTAATATGAGAAGAACATACTTCTTGATGGCTACAAAAACACATTCATTCACTTAGGATGAGATGCGTATTGTACCATCTTAGAAGCAGTCTAATATGAAAAATGATTAGGCAAAGATTGTGGCCTTAGTACCCTGTACTACTTTACAAGTCATGCGAAAAGCATTTGTGTGGCTATCATTGTTGATGCTTGCATTGAGACCGAGGAGCTGATATTTGAGGTAGTGCAAATTTTATTGGAGTTTCAAAATGTTTTGACCGAGAGTCTACCCCTTATGCATTCCTCCACTAAGCGAGATTCAATTTGTTATAGATCTTATTCAATGATCGATGCTCCTCAATTAACCAACCTATCAAATACGACCTAGTATAAGGAGTTGTAGAAGCAAATGAAGGATCTGATGGCCAGAGGATTGGCTCATGTGTACCAATAGATGTGCTATACCAACTCTGATTGTTTCGAAGAAAGATTAGTCGTGTTGCATATGTATTGATAGCACAAGGCGGTCAACACAAGTGGGCTGGTGGGCAGTGTGGTAGACCACCGAAAACTGAGGTGGTGGTGGCTGCCTCCAAGGTGGGT